TGACCCGAAACGTCAGCTTTCCTGCTCCTCTGATGCTGCCTGACCTGCTGTGTTCCTCCAGCTCTACACCTTGTTATCTCAGACTCCAGCATCAGCAATTCCTACTATCTCTCAGCACTTTACAGTGCTTTGCAAGCTGGCATCGCTCTCTACTTCTCAGTGTTCGTAATGCTCGCATCGAAAAAACATTGAGGCTTCCTTTAGTGTGCTACTTGGTTTAGATGACCACCATGTTCACGTCCCAATAAGTGGGGTTAGTATGTAAGGAAGCAGAGTTGCTGATCGTACTGGTGGGGACACAGCCCGCTCCCCTCAATTCCCTTACACACGTTCATTCAAGATATCTGTTCACTGTGCTCCAAATATGCCGCATGTCTGATCAATGAAAATGAACCTTCAGAATATTTACATCTTATCTCTCTAGGTATTTATTACTTTGAGGCTTATTCTCTATAAACCCCCAATTGTCTGTATTTCTCTTTACTCTCCTGGAGCTGTTAACTCATGCTAAGATTCCCTGGCGTCTGGTAACCATTACATGGCTCACTTGAGGGTCCATTTTCTGAATATGAACTGAAGCAGTGGAGGCATCACATGTAGGCTTGGTCCTTAGCCCCCAGACTCCATGTTTTTCCCAGGCAACTGTTGCAAGTTGAATCTGACCATTCACAACTTTACTGTATTGGCCACTGAGGTGAGCTACCCTAACCACATATTGGCTTCATCACTTAACACCTTCTATTTTCACCTCTGTAACCTTACTGTTGTCTCAACTTCGCTGCTGAATCCCGCACGCCTTTGTCACTCTCGATGTGACTATTCTCCTGTCTGGCCTCCCAGATTCTACCCTTCATAAACTTGAGGTGATCCAGAAAATCCTGTTCCTCTATCGATCCTGTAGTCACTGATCTACACTAGCTCCCAGTTAAGCAACAACTTGAGTTCAAAAGTTCCATCCTCGTTTTCCGATTCCTCCGCGGTTTCGCTTCTCCCTATCTCCTCTGGCCACACACCCTCCGAGATTTCTGTGCTCCTCCGATCCTGGCCTCTTGAGCAGCTCCAATTTTAATCGCTCTGCCATTGATGGCTGCACCTTCAGCTGCCTGGACCCCAGGCTCTGGAATTCCACCCCCCACTCCTCTCCACCTCCCTATCCTCCTTAAAGAAACTCCTTAAAACCAATCTCTCTGACCAAGCTTTTGGTCACCTGACCTAATATCTCCTTATGTGGCTCAGTGTCAAGTTCTGTCTTGGGGGGAGGGGAGGGTTTCTGCTGGAAAGGCACCACTTGAATGCAAGTTGTTGTTGCTGTTCTCACTGATGATGGGTACGTGTGCATTTCAAGATTGCAATCAGACTCAGGAGCCCCAAGTGCTTGCCTCCCTAGCCAGGGGGAGAGAAACAGGCCAGTGTTAGCTGTCCCAGCGTCCTCCCAGCTGACATCAACTCAATCTAGACAGAGCAGGCATCAAACACAAGGCCTTCCTGGCTTGTTCTTTGCATCCTGCATGTCATTGGCTGCATGGAGGGCAAGAGAAATTGACTGGGAAGAGGTCTGTGACATTGGTAGGAGAGAGTCAGGCTAGTTCCTTCCACTGTGCCTCACTTAACCCGGCCTGAGCTCAGGACCTTGCTGTGGAAGGAACTGGGCATGCAGGCCTACAGTTCCCTAAAAGTGGCAACACAGGTAACCAAGGTGATTAAGAAAGTATATGGCATACTTGCCTTCATCGACTGGGGCATGGAATACAAGAGTTGGCAAACCATGTTGCAGCTATATAAAATCCTTGTTAGGCCGCATTTGGAGTGTTGTGTGCAGTTTTGGTCACCACACTACCAGAAGGATGTGGAAGCTTTGGGGAGAGTACAGAGAAGGTTCAACAGGATGTTACCTGGTCTCCAGGGCATTGGTGATGAGGAAAGGTTAAAAAAGACTAGGATTGTTTTCACTGGAAAGACGGCAACAGAGAGGAGACCTGGTAGAAGTCTACAAAATTATGAGAGGCATAGATAGGGTGGACAGTCAGAGGCTTTTTCACAGGGTTGAAGTTTCAATTACAAGGGGACACACTTCAAGGTGAGAGGGGGGAAAGTTTAAGGGAGATGTGCGAGGAAAGTTTTTCATGCAGAGAGTGATAGGAGCCTGGAATACACTACCAGAGGAGGTGTGGAAGCGGGCACATTGGTTATATTTAAGAGGCACCTGGATGGTTACATGAATAGGGAGGGAATGGAGGGATACGGAGCGAATAAGGGCAGAAGGTTTGTTTTTTAGTTTAGCCAGAGCTTGGTGATCGGCACAGGCTTGGAGGGCTGAAGGGCCTGTTCCTGTGCTGTACTTCTCCTTTGTTCTTTTGCTCTTGAACTCTGTGGGCAGGCAGGCTTTATATTTATAATTCTAGTCTTTATGCTCCAAGTCCAAACTTTTCATTCATACTCATCCCTCCTGAAGGTACAAACTCGATAGTTAAATGAGGATTGGGGGGTGAGGGGAAGAAAGAAACCACACCTCTCCTTTGTGGAGTTATCTGCTCTGTAGGGTACAGGACAACTGCAACAGTCTGAAAGCAGTAAGGCATCCCAGGAAAGTAGGTCAGGAAACCACGACACAGTCATTGGGAGAATAAATACACTGAAGCTGTGTTTCCGGCTCCTCATCAAAACTGGACAAGTTGGAAAAAGCAAATTTTTCGCCCTGGCCGATCCCATTTTTAAAACTATCGCTGTTTATTTCAATTGTTACAGAGGCTGTCAAGAATTTCAGAGTTCTGGGATTTTCTGACCATGATGCTACACGTTAACCAAAGGCCCATCTTAGTAGGTAGAGGTTGCATAGTGTTATTGCTGCACACATGCCTTTAAGGAAACTATTATTGTATTTCTGAAGAATTGGTCACTCAAATACAGCAGTCTTTTGTTTTCATTTCATTTAGTTTGTCAAAAAAAAGTCTAATTAACTTGCCTGAACTCATGTTTCTGCTTTTAGCTGTGGCTGTTTTGGAACTCGTATTATAATTAGCACTGCTGCCAGTTTGAGTTTTCAACATTGAATGAAATGAGTCCTACTCTGTAAAGTAAAGGATTGATTTCATCGCTGATTCGATTAGCAAAGCGTTTGGGTCTTCTTCAGTGGGGTGGGAAAGTGCAGCCCTCCCTAAATGAAGCCAATTCTCCGAAAAAATGTCTCCACATATTCCCCACACACCAAATAAAAAACTCACAACTGAAAAACTTTAATCAGTGCAAACACAGACTCAATGAGGTTCTTGAGTTCATGAGTGGATACATCCTGATAATTTCATCCATCTGGAGATACTTAATGCTCCATTGTTGTCATATATCATTGTCTCTTAAATAATTCTAAGACTTTCATGCTATTCTCTCTCTGGAGCCTACTCCAAATGCTGATTACTATATTTGAAGAGTTTCCTGATACTAATCCCAACATTGCCTTTGCGAATTCAAACTCATGTTTTGCACGATTCAATGTAATGTTTTTAATTGTCCTTTTTCATTCTCATAATTTAATAGCTGGGTGAAATCTTCTGTCTTTCTGCATAACTAAACCGCTCTAATACTCCGCGGGTATATCTTATTGTTTCTCTCTGTGCTACCTCCAGTTCTTGAATGTTTCTTCCGTCTACCAGCAACAAAAAACAGGATGAAAACAGAAATTGCTGGAAAAGCTCAGCAGGTCTGGCAGCATCTGTGGAGAGAAAGCAGAGAAAACAGGACCTGACAGAAGCCTTGCACCCTCTTCCTCTATCTTGTGCTCTCCTGTTTCAGCCACACTGTTCAATTTCTGTTAGATTTGTTCATAGGTCATGTTGACGTATGTCTCAACCCTAGACTCTCGGATTTTGTTCAGCTGTAGCCTTAACTATTTCAACACCATTTCACGAAGCAATTGTATTGCCTGTTTTCCCTTCTGCTGCGCAATGTTTTGGCTTCAAGAAATTTTGTCCATCACAATTTATTGTTTTGAATACACCATAGAAACTTAGAAAATAGGAGCAGGCCATTCAGCCCTTCAAGCCTGCTCCACCATTCAATCTGATCGTGGCTGATCATCCAACTCAGTCCCCTGTTCGCACTTTCTCCCCCACACCCTTTGATCCCTTTAGCCCTAAGAACTATATCTAACTCCTTTTTGAAAGTAGAGAATTCCACAGGCCCCCCCACTCTCTGGATGAAGACATTTCTCCTCATCTCAGTCTTAAATGGCATACCACATATCCTTAGACTGTGACCCCTTGGTTATCAGAAACATCCTTCCTCCGTTTACCCTGTCTAATCCTGTTAGAATTTTATAGGGCTGTATGTGACTCCCCCCTCATTTTTCTAAACTCCAGTGAATACAGTCCTAGCCGATCCAGTCTGTCTTCATACGTCAGCCCTGCCATCCCAGGAGTCAGTCTGGTAAACCTTTGCTGCACTCCCTCCATCACCAGAACATCCTTCCTCAGATAAGGAGACCAAAACTGCCCACAATACTCCAGGTGTGGTCTCACCAAGGCCCTGTACAATTGCAGCAAGACATCCCTGCTCCTGGACTCGAACCCTCTCACTATGAAGGCTAACAGACCATTTACTTTCTTCACAGCCTGCTGCACCTGCAATGCTTACTTTCAGCGACTGGTGTGCAGGGTGCTATCGCATGGTGTTATTGCATCTGCTACATATTTCTTCTCTAAACCAGAACAACACCAACGTGTCTCAACTGGTAACCCACAGTGAACCTGTACTCTGGTACATACAATAATGTATACCAACTCTCTCTAATTCTAGTTGTAACCTTGTTATGATTTCAGTCATTCTTATTTCAGTGCAATTCTCTTAAAATCTCCTCCTCATTGAAAATGCAGAATGTATTTGCACGCCTATTGATCTGCAATGATTAGCTTCTTTATGACTTTCAAACTCCACCCTCTGGGGAGTGCTTGTTTCAGCCTGTTGCATAAGCTTTCCTTAAATGCTAAGTGCTTTCACATTGTCTCGTCTTTATCTGCATTCAAAGTGGAAAACTTAGGGAAGAAAGGGTGCCAGGATTGTTCCAAACTACTGGAAACCAAGAGAACGTGGGGGCAGAAACGGTCTTCATCTCCTTATTGTCCAGGTAAATCAAATCAAAACGATTAAGGCTTATCACGAGCAAAAGAGAATTGTCAGAAGCTCTGTTGAAAATATAGGCACGGATAATGACGAACTCTGCACAGTGGATATCTGGAGAAAGTTTTCGCAATTCAGTCAGGGTAACTTGTTAATTAAATTAAGTACAACATGAGTTTTTCTCCGTTTGTTTCAGGTTTTTACTTGCTCTCTGTAACGACAGGTGATTTACACTGAAGTAACCAGGGCAACACATGCATAGGCAAGAAGGTGCTTTCTCAGCCAGCACCAATTCTCTGTCATGTGACATCCTCTTCACATATATCTTGCAGCTGGGGCCGGTGGTGGGGGGGTGGTCCCTGGATAGCTGTCAGGACTGGGAAACCAAACTGCTTCACATTTTTCCCTTCCTTCAAGCTTGGGATCACTTGTAATGAGCGGCCCGTTTGCTGTCTAGGCTAAGAATCTGCTCATTCAGCCCAGACCTGTGCCACAGACTCTTGTGCTGTCTCTTTGCAACTGCACCTGGACGGCCAGCAACTTGGTGAAATACTCTCTTTGGCCTGCCCGAAACTTGTTGGTTTTCCAGAGCAAGCAGTTGACCCCGACTGAGTGTGGCAGACTGGCACATCCCAAGCTCCAAGACTACGTGTGCTGAGGGACACGCTAAATCTTGGGGCAGCTTTCGCCAAGGGGCAGTGGGGAAGGACCACCGTCTGAGATCTTTCTGCTGAAGGTAAATGGGGGTCCGTTCAGTTATCGGACCCTCCCAGTACCTCAAATGCATATAAACATGGTCTTGTTCAAGCAAAAGGAGCCTTTGGTTTGTTTGGATACATTCAAACTCCAATATTTGTTTCCTTGATTATGCTACTGTACAGAACTGAACTGCCTTTGTGACCATGTACATATATTAAGATAGTTTTTATGAATAAAGTATATTTTTGAAATTAAAAAAAAGGTTGGGTGGATTGGCCATAATAAATTGCTCATAGTGTCCAGGGATGCGCAGGCTAGGTAGATTGGCTGTGGGAAATGCGGGGTTACAGGGATAGGGTAGGAGGGTGGGTCTGGGTGGAATGCTATTCGGAGAGTCAGTCTAGACTCAATGGGCCAAATGGCCTGTTTCCACACTGTAGGGATTCTATGATTCTATCCAGTTAGGCTGACTCCCCTGCTCCTTCCCCACCCTCCGCACACTTTCCCTTCCGCACTGCCCCCTCCCTCACCACCCCCCCCCACCCCCCCACCGTCTCTCTCCAATTTTCTTTTAGAATCTATTTCCACTAGTCTTTCAGTTCCAGAGTGCAACAACTCATTGCATAGCCAAAAGAAAGCGTTTCTCCCCTTCTCTAACACTTCCAGTCCGTACGCAAGCATGACCCCAACCTTTCCAGAGTCGGTTATTTTAACACAGTGTCCTGCTCACACACCCACATGTCTGTCCTCAGCTCCAGTGAATCACAGCACAAACTGGAAGAACAACATTTCATCTTCAGGCTGGGCATTTTACAACCTTCTGGGCTCAATATTGAGTTCAACACCTTCAGATTGTGAACCCATTCCTTCCCTTTCTTTTAGTATTACTTTGATCCATTCTCTGTCACCTTCTCTCCCCTCCCCACACCCCATTGGGACAGTCTGTCCTTCCCGCTCTGGCAGTTAGACACACCATTGTTCTGCCATTCTCACATTCCCATCACTTAATCTCAACTGTCAGCATCTTTTCTCCCCCAGCACTCCAACTCTCCCCCCGCCTCAACTATTGCATAAATGCTGCCCCCTTCACACTTCACGTCAGCTCTGATGAAGAGTCTTCTAGACTCGAAACATTAGCTTGCTCTCTCTCCCTGGATGCACTGACCACTGTGATCTCCAGCATTTGTTGTTTTCAGTTTCTCCCCTTCGGTTCTTTTGCCAATTACCTTCGATCTGTTCCCAATATAATTCCTAATATAACAGTGGAATTGACATGCCAGTAAAATGCCAAAAGCTCATGACATTATGGACTGAATGGAATTCCAGACAGAGATGCTGGTTTGAGGACCATTTGCTTTCAGATCAAACTATATGTTTAGGAATGCGTGTAATCTCTGTAGGCCAAGCAGCATCAGAGGAGCAAGAAAACTGACATTTCAGAAATGAAGAAGGGTCCCGACCCGAAACGTCAGCCTTCCTGCTCCTCTGATGCTGCTTGGCCTGCTGTGTTCACCCAGCTCTACACCTTGTTATCCCAGAATGAGAGGTCACAGTTTTAGGATAAGGGGTAGCAGAATTAAAACAGAGATGAGGAGAAATTACTTCTGTCAAAGGGTTGTGAACCTGTGGAATTCACTCCCCCTGGACTGTGGTGGATACTGGGACATTGAGTGAGGAGGAGATAGACAGATTTTTAATTAGTAACGGGTTGCAGGGTTACGGAGAGCGGGCAGGAAGGTGGAGTTGAGTCCGAGATGAGATCGTATTAAAGGGTGGAGCAGGTTCGAGGGGCTGAATGGTCTACTCATGCTCCTAGTTCTTTATTCTTATATTAAATCAGCTGTCCATTTTACAGTTCTCCATGCTTTTACATTCATTGGTTCCAATTGAGAGGAATGTGTAATGGCTGATGGATTGACATCATCTGGTCAAAATTACCCCATGGTATTGAAATCCTCTTAAAAAAACCATGAGACTATTGTCTACATGCCCTATGCGATCGAAATTAGACCAATGTAGAAGGCCAAATTATTTCAAATCATTTTCCCTCTTTCTATTCATGTTAAGAGGGTTAGAAAGCCATTCTTGATGCTAAAAGCAGAATGCCCACTCTCAGGTGTGTGCTTTTTTGGAATGTGACTTTAACCCATGTGCAGCTGGCGTTATAAAACCATGGTACTATCTGAAGAAAAGCCTGCGGTTCTCCCAGATTAATCGCTTCAATTTCTTTCACAGGATGTGGCTGGGCCCAGCATTTATTGCCTCGTCCTTAGTTGCCCCCTTGAGAAGGTAGTGGGTGAGCTACCTTCTTGAACTGCTGCAGTCCATGTGCTCTAGGTAGACCCACTAAGATTCCTTAGGGAGGGAATTTCAGGATTTTGACCCAGCGACACTGAAGGAACGGCGATATAGAATAGAATATAATAGAAATTTATTGTCATGTGTGCTTTTACATGAAAAATACAGTGAAAAGGGTATAAGTCGCCCCACCATGGGGCCTACATCAACGGCAGAAGTCATACATAATGATAAAAAAAATGAAATCAAGACAAGGTTCATCACAGTTCAGTTAATGGCTCCTAGACTCAGGGAAAGCCGATTAAGGAGCAATGGCCTAGCCTGCGGGTGTGGGCTTGGGCAGTCAGTCACGGACCTGCTCCTTGCTTGTGAACCTATGTTCGGCTCGTCCTGGCGTTGCCACCAGAGACCTCCTCCTTCACCCGCCGCTCTCCAGGCTGTAAAGAAACAAAATAGAAGAAAAGAAAAAGAGCAAAAGAAGAAAAAAAAGAGAAAGAAAGCCAATGGGAGTGAATGAGCTCTGGGTTCGTGAAAGATTTATGTATTAATATATTTCCAAGTCAGGATGGTGAGTGGAGGGGAACTTGCAGGGGGTGATGTTCCCATGTATCTGCTGCCCTTGTTCTTGTAGATGGAAGTGGTCGTGGGTTTGGAAGGTGCTGTCTGAGGATCTTTGGTGAATTTCTGCAGTGCATCTTGTAGAGGGTACACACTGCTCCCACTGAGCATCAGTGGTGGAGGGAGTAGATGTTTGTGGATGTGGTACCAATCAAGCGGGGGCTGCTTTGTCCTGGATGGTGTCAAGCTTCTTGAGTGTTGTTGGAGCTGCCCCCATCCAGGCAAGTGGGGAGTATTCCATCACACCCCTGACAGTTTTGCCTTGTAGATAGTGAACAGGCTTTGGGGAGCCAGGAGGGGAGTTACTTGAAGCCAAATTCCAAGCCTGTGACCTGCTCTTGTATTTATATGGCTAGTCTTGTTCAGTTTCTGGTCAATGGTAACCCCCAGGATGTTGACCAGACTTTATCGCATTTGCTGCTTGTGGGTCTTAGTGTCCAAATTGTTTCTGATGTTAGCCAACACACCTGTGACTGCATGTCAGAAATAGTTAATTTTTGGTGGGAGAAGGTTCTTATAGAGTGTAAACACCAGTATGAACTAGTTGGGCCAAATGGCCTGCTTCTTTGAAATAAACATACTTCACTCTGGGATCTGTAGTCATGAGCAACCTGAATTGTTTGTAAAGTATACTTTTTAATTTAAAAATTTCCTGACCAGCCTTATCACACACCTCTAGAGCAGGTGGGCCTTGAACCCAGGCCTCTGTGGTTGAGGGGTAGGGGCACTGCCACTGGACCACAAGAGCATTCCCTTAGATCAGCTATCCAGACACGTGATAACTCCCCTTCAGGGCAATTGGAACTTGAACCTAGGTCTTCTGTCCCAGAGATAGGGTTGCTACCAGACCGATCTTAGAACACGGTGCACCTCTGTACAACACAAGCACCCCATTCTTGTGTGCCTCCATTCCAGGTGAATCAAAGGCGTGGTTTCGCGGGGACACTCCCGTTTGACGGGAAACTGTCCCGCTTTCCTGACAATTTCTGAAAAAATAGTTCAGGTGTAACCTTTTTCCTGGGGTGTCAAATGTAAACTGGGCCTGGGGAAAGAAAATCTGTGTGAAATGTTGTCTTTCTCCCTATAAAAAAAACCTATCGCATCTTATTTACCCACACCCAGCGGGCCTGTAGCCCTCCCCTCCATTGCGGCCCATCCCTATCCTTCCCCTCTTGACGTCTCCAAAGAAGGCATCATGACCTTTTTGGCATTGAAGGTGGTATTGCTGATCACATCTTTTAATGAAGCAACAGAATTGGCTGGGAAACATTGTCATAAGGGACCTCTCACCATCAACTTCTCCTGCCTTTGGCCACTCATTATGGCATTTATAATGGAGCTTGGCCTTCCCACATTTCTTCAAGGTGTCCCAGTTCTGACTTTTGAAAGTCT